GGTTGTGTCATCCGTATAATGCAGATTGTTGATAAATCGTCCACCAATCCTGACCCCACATTTCTCCTCATAGAGCCCAGCCTCCCGAATAATCTGTTCTGCATATAGGTTGAAAAGGTATGGAGATAGGATGCATCCCTGGCGTACGCCCTTCCGAATTTTGAACCATGCAGTGTTCCTTTGCTCTGTTCTGACGACTGCCTCCTGGTCCAAGTATAAGTTTCGCATTAGAACGATCAAACTAGCTCCAGCAAATCACTGATAATTCTTTTTTAATTACATAAATAAGTCCTGGGTAATTCTTTCTCAGTTGCAGTTTGTGAATGATACTCACACCTTAAACCCATTGCTACCATCTATCTGGAGATTACTATCAACATGTCTGGTATGGCATATGCTGAAATAGAAGCTAGGATACTCTGCCTTTATTTACTATATACCAACGAGAAAGTAATCTAACCTCAGAGAACATATGTTCTCTTATTTTCAAAATGAATAGAAATAATTTTCTTTCTTCAGGGGAGGTTGTTATGGGAACTGAGTATATGGAAACATTTTTTACAAATCTAGAGTATTCCATAGATCTAAATAAAACGTTCTCTAAGCCCAAATTTACCCTTGCCTCACATATTGAAGTTAACACCAGTTGCTTGTAATTGAGCACAGTTACTTGCTGAGTACATAAGCCGACTTTGTCTTGGGAAATGATTAGACCTTGAAAGTAAGTTTGTGAGTTGATTGCTGAAGAGCTAGAGAGCAGCCTCCCATAGAGCATTATTATATGTGGAATGTTTATATCTAGGCCTGTCCACAGGCTTACTCAATAAATATTCATAGTAATACCACTGTTGATGGAATTTTTGACGTTGTTTCTTTGAAAAGTATCTCTTCTGAGTTCCTATGAAGACCATCTCTAAGATTTTCCCCGCCACCTTCGTTGGTGGTGGCCTCTTGCATTGATGTTTTCTAGATTTGTGGTGCATTGTGAGTAGTGTCTTTCCCTCTCTTTCATCTTGACCTTTAGGCATAGATAGGCCTTCTCAAGGTAGGTCTTCCCTGAAGTGTATGAATTTTCCAGTTGGAAAATCTACCCATAGATGCATCAGATATGTATATTGTTAGATGTCAATAAGTAGATTCTGACTCATGGGAACCGCGTTTGTTTAAGGTAAAATTTATTCATAAGGTTTTCAAGGCTATGACCCTCCAGAAGCGGATTATGGGGCTTGTTTTCCGAGACACATATGGGTGATTTTGAACTGCCAACTTTAGTGGTGGCCTAGTGGCAAGAAGCTGCACTGCAGTCCCGAAAGGACACAGCTCAAATCCATCAGCTGCTCATCAGGAGAAGGATACACAATCTCCTCCCATCTGAAGGTCAGCTAAATGGCTGTTCTGACTACACAACAAAAACAACTTTACATCTAGTAATTCAGTGCTTATTAATTGGAGCCACCTCAAGGACATAAAGTGTATATTAAATATTTTTAAATTTTGTTTGTTGTTGTTTGCGTTGAGTTAAAGCCAACTCAAAGTTGATCTTCCAGCATATTTTCAGAGGCAGTACATTGTACTGGAGGAGATTGCCAACACTGTTCCAGTAATTTGAATTTGCAGTTGTTGTTGTTGTTGTTGTTGTT